GATAGTGACCTGGTTAAGGTCGGTACCCCGTATATAGGGTAATGTTATGTTGTGACCTGGTTAAGGTCGGTACCCGGTAGATAGGGTAATGCTATGCTAGTGACCGGTTAGGTCGGAATCCTGGTTAGGATGTTTATATGCTATGTGATCTGTTACACTGATAGTCTGGTTAAGGCTTTGTTATGTGATTAATTGTTTTATGTGCACATTGTTATTTGACGGGGGTTGGGTTGAGGTGGGTCCTGCTTTGTGCTGTAGGCCAACATACCCAGGGCGGACCGGATATTCCGAAGGCCCAACGAGCGGTCCGGATAGGCTGAAGGCCCCAAGAGGCGGGCCAGACGTGCCGAGGCTCGGAGAGTGGACCAGGCCGACTGAAGCCCGGTGTGGGCGGACCATCATACGTAGACTCAGAGAGTGACCAGGTGGATTGAAGGCCCGTGCGTGCGGACCAATCACACTGTAGACTCGATGTACATGGCTAGACGCGGAGGGTGGACCAGGTGGACTGAAGGCCCGTGCCGGCGGACCAGTCACACAGTAGACCCGATGTGCATGGCTGTTCTCTTTGTGATATGTTATGAGTATGTTTATGTGCGTTGGTAGTTTGGGGGGTAACTCACTAAGCTTTCGGACTTTACAGTTTTAGTGTATTGTTTCAGGTACTTCAGGAGATCGTGGCAAGGCGAATGCGTGATCGTACCGCTCCTCATGTTTTATGATTTATGTAATATGGTTCTGGGGGATACTCTGATGTTTAAACTATTTTGAAAACGAGATGTATGAACTTAATGGTTTTTGAATGAATTAAAATGTTTTAATGGCTCAATTTTTAAGGTGTTACAGAAGATAACGAAGGGTGTTATTAATATGGGTTTTGCTGTTAAGAGAGAAATTTGGTGAAAAATACGTGAGATTACGGAGAATTGAAGGAAAGTATGGAGCAATGCATCCCAATCCCTAAATCTTGTAGGGGAAAACGACTCTGGAGGGCAACTAACTATTGAGTTAGTTCTTATTTGGTCCCTTTCCTTTTTTTTGTATCCAATATACCATTGAACTTGTTGTTTGTGTTGACCAAAACCCTTTTGACCGACTATCACCTGTGATAGCCGATCAAAGGGTTATGGTGAACACAAACAACAAGTTCGATAGTATATTGGGTACAAAAAAAGGAAAGGTATTAAATGAGAACAAACTAAACAGTTGGTTACCCTCCTAAGTCATTTTCCCTTTACTCATTATAGAAAATCCCACGTCATCTCCTGCTCATATTAATGACTTTTTGAGATTCATTCTTGCTTCTCTTCAAAACATAACCCACGAAAGAACATTATTCATACATGTACAACTTTGTAATGCACTTGAATATTTATTAGGGGAATCTTGATTAAGTAGGTGGATTTCATGACTACATTTACATTTCCTATCAAATGATTTATCGTATCATGGATTCTGGACAAGTCTATAAACGAGTAGAATCATAAGTGTTGTGATTTTTTAGTTTACATGGATTTAAGATCGAATTCATGGGATAAGATACAACATCAATATGTACAAGATCATGCAGCTTTTTGCAGACACATCACCATAATATAGCACGAGGTAAACGTTTATGCTGATAAATATACCTCTCATATATAGTCACATCCTTTTGCCAAGAGTTGTTGACAGCTACCCACATGAGCATATCATAGACCATGTTTTGATGAAGCTACCCCTCCAAAACTCTCTTCATGTACGTTATGGCCTAAGAAGGTTGAAGTCTTTGATACTTTTTTAGCTTTAATTTCATTTAACATTTTGGGGAAAATGACTAAGGAGGGTACCAACTGTTGAGTTTGTTCTCATTTGGTCCCTTTCCTTTTTTTTATCCACTATAACCATCGAACTTGTTTGTTTGTGTTCACCATAACCCTTTAACTAGCTATAACAGGTGATAGCCGGTCAAAAGTCGGTCAAAAGGGTTATGGTGAACACAAACAACAAGTTCGATGGTATATTGGGTACAAAAAAAGAAAAGAGACCAAATGAGAACAAACTCAACAGTTAGTTACCCTCCAGAGTCATTTTCGCATCTTGTAGATATGAAGTATTTATTCTTTGTAGTGGTGTCAGAGATGGGGGAATCATCCATGGTGGGGTAACTATTGAGAGTAGAGATGAAATTGTGATTTCTGAGTTTCGTGTATCTAATTTGATGTTCTTGAGCCATTTGTTGATGAAGAACTCTCTTTCTCTCATTTCTTTTTCATCCATGTATTATTGATTGTTGGTAGTACACACAAACACACACACACAAAGATTTTATTTTAGCTTTTTCTTTGATTGTTATAAATAAAATAAAATAAATAAAAAATTAAAAGGGAAAATCCGTTATTTGAAATATTTTCAAATAGTTTTGGACAAAACCTACAATAAAATTTTTATTTCGATGACCGTGCAACTTCAAACATTATGGACCAAATACTAATTTTGAAAAACTACAAAGACCATTTTTGCAATTCTATCTTGTTTAATTGTTATCCCGTTTATAGTCCGGATATAGATTTTTTTTTTTTAATTAACCCTAGACATCTTATAATACTCGAATAAAAATCTTGTTAAAATTTTCAAGATATACAACAAGTTTGATACTATTTTTTAATCTGGATATAAAGTATACCGTATGATACAAATTTATTAATTTAAGAAGACATATCCAATTCATGAGAAACAAAATCGTTTACGGAATGAAATTTATCAAGGAAACACTACCATGTACTTCGCATTAGTTATTGAAAGCGAAAGCAACAACTTCATTAGAATGCAACCATTTTTACTGTTTATGAATATTTAGGTGGTAAAAGTAAATAGCAATGCAAATTAACTTATATATATGCCGTTTAGTATATTTTTTAGACAAAATTACAAAAATGGTCCCTGTGGTATGCATTTTTTTAGGGTTTTAGTCCAAAACCTCGACTTTTTTTTGGATCGTGGTCCTTATGAGTTGGTTTGCTTGTAGTTTTGGTCCCTCGAAAAACTGAAAAAGACTAAATACCCTTGAGGTATTTCTTTTTCATTTTTCTTTCATTTGTTATCTATTTTTTATAATTAAAAATTAAGAAAACTCTCTCTCTCTCTCTCTCCTCTCTCTCCTCTCCTCTCTCTCTCCTCTCCTCTCTCCTCTCTGCTCCTCTCTCTCTCTCCTCTCTCTCTCCTCATTTGCCGCCTTCCTTCTCCTTCTCACATTAATAAGAAAAAGTCAAAAAACACCCTTCTTAGCCTTAATTCTCCCAATCAAGCAATTCTTCCTTGAAATTATGGCTCCTTATCACTCAGACCTTCAGCTTCACGATGATTACTTCCCTCCATCCAATGTTATGTAATCAGGGGCAGCAGCCCGTGATTGTCGTAGTTCTCTCCTCTTTGCCCTAATTGCATCGATCATGGCTTGATGAGGTATCACACACTCCATCTAAATTTCACACCCTTTTCCACCTAATCATATCCTATTTGATTCTCATCGCTCCTTTGGTATTCTTTAATGAAAGCATCAATAATCCTATCCTATTTGAACAGTTCACCTTCTATCAGTCCATCTTGAGTTGTAGGTCAAGGAAGAGGCAATTTTGCGATTCGTTATCAGTTGTCTTCAATCGACGAAATGAAGGACACAACTGAAATCGCGCTGGTGAAGTTAAAGAGACCGAGACGGCGAGAGCTTACTAATGACGGCAGCAGCAGGTGGTGGACCGGAGATTCTCAACATCAGTAGTGGTGGTCAATGGGTGGAAGGAAGCAATCCTCCGGCGATAATTTGCAAAGGGAGGAAGACGGAGACGATCGTTGTAGTCAAGTGGTTCAGAAGATGAAGGAGAAAGGGTGCTTGGGCTGCTGTAAGACGAGCAACAACCAGAAAGGAAAAGGGTGGTGTTTGGTGATTCAGTCGACAGAATGGATAGAAGGAGGGTGAAGACAGTCGGTGGCGATGAGATATTTCCGGCCACCTCTTGACTGATCTGTTAGCGAAATACGCATGGGAGGGGGTTCGGTGGCCCTTATCGACGAAGCGACAAGGAGGGTGTTTGGAATCCTACACAACCACACACACACATAGAGAGAGAGAGAGAGAGAGATTTCTTAATTTTTTAATTATAAAAATAGATAACAAATGAAAGAAAAATGAAAAAGAAATACCTCAAGGGTACTTTAGTCTTTTCAGTTTTTTGAGGGACCAAAAGTACAAGCAAACTAGCTCATAAGGACCACCGATCCAAAAAAGTCGATGTTTTGACTAAAACCCCAAAAAAATGCATACCACAGGGACCATTTTTGCAATTTTGTCTATTTTTTTATTGGGTACATTGTAAGAAAGCGATCATACTTTCGTGTGTGTGTGTTTTTTTTTTGAAAAAACATCATAAATGGTCCCTGTGGTTTTCTAAAATCTGAAGTTTAGTCCCTATGGTTTAAAAACGTCATACATGGTCCATGTGCTTTCAAAACTTTTGATGATTGGTCCTTATTGCTAACTCCGTTAAGTTTTGTCCGTTAACCGAAGGGCATTTTCGTCATTTCACTATCACAAGGACCATTTATGATGTTTTCTAAGAAAAATTTAAATATAATTATTTAATATATAAAAGGTCTCTCTCTCTCTCTCTCTCTCTCTCTCTCTCCAAAAAGTAACCCGCCATTGTATATCCTCAACTCCAAGTTCTCTCGCACACAAAATACACCAAATCAAACCACAATAACCCAATATTTTGAAGATTTAACAAACAAATCCATGGTTCATTTGAAGTCGATTGCAAGTATTTAACCCGACAGATGAAGTCAACATCCCCTGTCCCTCCTTATTCTTCTTCTTCTTCTTCAACCACAGGGCACACTCTACAGGCGAGCACTTCCAATGCATTGTGAAGTAATTGGGAAAGGGTATTTTCGACAATATAACCATGTCCCTCCTGATTTGTTTGGATTAAAAACCTTCAATTAAGTTGCAGATTATCTCAGGCATTTCATCGAGCACTTCCAGTGCACTGTGAAAGGGTATTTCGGAGGCGAGACCTAGCACCCTCCTTTCTCTTTCGAATCTCTGTTATTGACTCCGATGGGTGCTCCGACTGGTGACCAACTGACGATGACAACTTCCTTCCTTCTGACTTCTTTTTCTTCTTCCTTCTCGGTCTTTCTTCCCCTTCACCAGATCTCATGGTAGCCTCAGACGCCAACAAGAGCTTCATTGATTCTCTTTGCTTTTATCATTGGCGACACACACACAATAAAGCACACAAAAATAGTAAAACACACACATACATACTCTCAACAGGCCTTAGTGGCACTCTCACTCACCCTCAATGCTCATCTGTAAACCGTGTTGGTTGAACTGGAACGTTTCAACTGATGTTTGATCTGTAATCCCACTAGAAAACGAGCTGAAACAATTACACACACTTCACCTTAGCCTATGGATCGTAACTTCTTCTTTTCGGTTCACTCGGTTTTGAGGCTCAAATGGGTGGGGAGCAACTCGTAACAGACAGAAAATTGTTTATTTAGGGTAGGGATCAATTGACATTTCAAAGGAATCAAATTATAGGCTTCTAAAATGGTGAAGAATGCATACAGTCATTAAATCGATCTACTAGGAAGAAGACAATCGGGTTTGCAATCTTAACAGATTCGGTCCTTGCAGTTTGTTCTAATGACAGATCCTACCCAAAACTAAAATATTTCTTCAAAACTGATTTCTAGAAAAAACATCATAAATCGTGCCTGTGGTAGTGAAATGACGAAAATGCCCTTCAGTTAACGGACAAAACTTAACGGAGTTAGCAATAATGACCAATCGTCAAAAGTTTTGAAAGCACAGAGACCATCTATGACGTTTTTAAACCACGGGGACTAAACTTCAGATTTTTGGGAAACCACAGGGATCATTTATGATGTTTTTTCTTTTTTTTTTAATTTTTTTTTAACATGATATTTTTGTGAACAAAAGCAGTTTTGTTAAAAACAAAACTTCAAAAAAACCAGAAAAGCGATTTCCCAATTGCAAAAGGTCATGAATAACCTATTGACTCATGTTCAAATCCTGGCACCACTCAGCCCTTGTGGTCATGGAGGTTCGTCTGCAGTGACTCCAGGGCATGAGACAAAGCCTCATGTTTGCAGCGGGGGATTAGTCGGTGCGCGAAAGCTGGACCGGAAACCCTCGTTAGGGAAGTTCCCTTTCCAAAAAAAAAGGGTCATGAATAGATTATTAAAGGGCTGTATTGTGCTAAAAAAATCCATTTTTTACGGTTTTTATTATTTTGGTTTTCAAAACTGTCTAATCAATCAACTTATATAATTTAATTCATTTTTAATTTTTTAATATCTATATTATTATTTGTTATTAGTTCTATTTTTAATTACTTAATTAATTAATATCTATATTCTTATATTATGATTCTTATATTTTCTTTTCTTAAAAAAACAATTTTTTATAAAGGTTAGAAAATTAAACATGTTAACTTACTGATAAACTATAAATCTATTTCAAAGACAAATATTGAAACCTATGTTTAAAATTTAAAGAGTTATACATTGTACAAAAGATATTGTAGATATATTAATGTTAGAAAATTATAGAAATTTGGATATTATAGATATATTAATGTTAGAAAATTATAGAATTCCAATTTGTTCTCATTTATTTTGTTTCGCAAGCAGCAACTATTTGGTTATATATATATATATAATATATATATATATATATATATAATATATATATAGATATAGATATATATATATATATATATAGGGTAATCAAATAATCTAACCCTTAAAAATAATATCTTTGACAAAATTTGCCAAAGTCTTTTATTTTTAATTTATTTATTTATTTATTTTAAGTAACCATATTCTCCGGAACATATGGTTTCGGAGAGGTCTCTGGAATTTCGGAGTATGATTTCGAACCATTGTTCCGGAATACATTTTACTTGAGTTTTTGTAAGCGTTAGATGACTCAATTTCCCTTTATACGATGTATATCTCATTTCAGACAGGCATTCGAAACATTGGAGTATGATTCTGGACCACAGTTCTGGAACGTTTTTCGTATCATTTTTTATATAAATTTTTTTTAGCAGTTTTGTTTATATAATATCTAAAATGCAATTGGTAATCTTAAAATCAACAAAAACCAAATAAATTTATAAACTAAAGAGATTTGTTTGAAGTAATATTATAATGTTCAAATCATCTTATTCCTTATACACCAAAATATTTCTGACACTCTTTTACGATATGACATAGCCCATGGACTGCTTTGACCGTCTATAGAATACGACTTCCTGGTGATAAACGCTTCTAAGAACTAACACAAAAACACCTCACAATCACCTCTACTCTGAATCTGTTGTGGTACTTGTGGCGCCTTTTCGAGGGTCATGTTGAAACTCTCAAGTAAGATTGAATCACTTGGTTCGGTACCCCAGTAGATGATGCCCACTAGCATTCTGTGGATGCGGGCTCGCAATCCTCGGACTGCTTTGACCGTCTATAGAATACGACTTCCCGGTGATCAACGCTTCTAGGAACCAACACAAAACACCCACAATCCCCTATACTCTCAATTTGTTGTGGTACTTGTGGCGCCTTTTCGAGGGTCATGTTAAAACTCTCAAGTGGGATTGAATCACTTGGTTCGGTACCCCAGTAGTTAATACCCACTAACAGTATGTGAATGCTGGCTCGCATACCGATAAACCAATACTCCGTTTCTGAAAAGTAGTCATTTGGAATGTCTTCAAATTCAAATTCAAATCACCCAAAAACCAGTGAGCAATTTGAATATTGATTGGGATGTAAAGCTACAAAAAAGGTTAGAAATAAATAAACACTAAATAACATTATAATACATACATACTTAGGTAATGTAATCGAAACACAATTATACCGTATCACATTCTGCCCAAGCAGGGTTAACGGATATGTCAGCCATGTCACCCCAGTCAAATGTATGAGTGTTGAAAGTTGTCGGTGCGACCGTCCATCGAGCGTCATCCAGTCTACGCTCTACCAACAATGAGATCCACAACACGATGTGCTGCCAATTAAAAATATTTGCAGTTAAGTAAGTGATGTTAGTCGAACATAGTACGTAAATGAGTAGGCTAATAATGTAACTTACATCACATTGCAACTACCCTGGGTGACTGTCCGCATATAAACGTGTAACATCCCCAAAAATTATAAGGTAAAAATTTTATTTTTAATTCAACCATAAACACCATTTATTCTTTTTAGTCATTCAAAAGCATATCAAAATAAAAATAGTTATCAGAGTACAATCCCAAAATCACAAAGTGCGGAAACATTGGTGAATGCGCTGCGATCAAGCTGGGAACTTCCATTTCGAACTGGAAGTACATGAAACCATAACCATAAAACTGTAAGCACAACGCATAGTGAGTTTCCCAAAATACCACATACTACACATATCACACATATAATGGGCCTTGGCCGCCATCCATCAGACCCCGTCCGATACAGATATGTTAGTAACATGCGATGGGCCCCACCCAACACACTCATCAGGCCCCGCCCGGTATACATACAAACACATACAACATATGTAAGAGTCAGACAGACAACTAGCATACTAATAATAACAATCCATGGGCAGGCATTGGTGCATTCGACCCGCCATAGACTGTGAGGAGACTCACCTCAATCCGAGATAACTAAAACACACGTACTACTCCTAGAGGTTTCCTCACACTGAACACAACCAAACTATCCCTAGTCAATAATAAAGATAATTCCCCATAATCCAAGTTTCAATTCATTTCTATCATTACAATATGTAAAAGACCATTTTACCTTTCCCATATCTGATCCAACAACTCATGGCCCAACTCCCAAAAGACCCAAGGCCCAAAATAGAACCTTGTGATTACTCCCCACGTAGCAGACTCGTACGCCCTACATATTGCTCATTGATGCTTAAGGTACAAATCGCCACAACATGAAATTGGAAAGACATGAATTACACTGAGCGTACGCATATGTACGCCCAGCGTACCCCAAAATACCACATACCATACATATCATACATATAATGGGCCTTGCCCCCATCTGTCGGGCCCCGTCCGATACAGATCTGTTAGTAACATGATATGGGCCCCACCCAACACACTCATCAGGCCCCGCCCGGTATACATACAAACACATACAACATATGCAAGAGTCACACAGACAGCTAGCATACTAATAACAATAACCCATGGGCCGACATTGGTGCATTCGACCCGCCATACACTGTAACGAGACTCACCTCAATCCGAGATAACTGAAACACACGTACTACTGCTACAGGTTTCCTCATACTGAACACAACCAAACTATCCCTAGTCAATAATAAAGATAATTCCCCATAGTCCAAGGTTCAATTCATTTCTATCATTACAATATGTAAAAGACCATTTTACATTTCCCATATCTGATCCAACAACTCATGGCCCAACTCCCAAAAGACCCAAGGCCCAAAATAGAACCTTGTGATTACTCCCCACGTACCAGACTCGTACGCCCTACATATTGCTCATTGATGCTTAAGGTACAAATCGCCACAACATGAAATTGGAAAGACATGCATTACACTGAGCGTACGCATATGTACGCCCAGCGTACCCCAAAATACCACATACCATACGTATCATACATATAATGGGCCTTGCCCGCCATCTGTCGGGCCCCGTCCGATACAGATCTGTTAGTAACATGATATGGGCCCCACCCAACACACTCATCAGGCCCCGCCCGGTATACATACAAACACATACAACAGATGCAAGAGTCACACAGACAGCTAGCATACTAATAACAATAACCCATGGGCCGACATTGGTGCATTCGACCCGCCATACACTGTAACGAGACTCACCTCAATCCGAGATAACTGAAACACACGTACTACTGCTACAGGTTTCCTCACACTGAACACAACCAAACTATCCCTAGTCAATAATAAAGATAATTCCCCATAGTCCAAGGTTCAATTCATTTCTATCATTACAATATGTAAAAGACCATTTTACATTTCCCATATCTGATCCAACAACTCATGGCCCAACTCCAAAAAGACCCAAGGCCCAAAATAGAACCTTGTGATTACTCCCCACGTACCAGACTCGTACGCCCTACATATTGCTCATTGATGCTTAAGGTACAAATCGCCACAACATGAAATTGG